TATGATCCATAACCATTTTTGCTCGAAGCTAGTGTCGATTGAATAACAACAGTGGCGGAGCCATTTTTGCAATATAAACTCATGTTTACGGCACAGTGTTTAACGCACACAGATGTTCAACGTTCATCACACCCATGGGACTAAACAGACAGGGAAGCTGAAATTGCTAAGAGTAAGACCTTAAGCTACCAAAAGACTCAACCGTTTGCCGGAGATAGTGCAGCATACCAGCCACGTCTCACAATGCAACGGCGAGCTCGTGCATATGCTCCTTTAGGATGGTGAATGACTTTTCCCTTTTGATCGAATGCATGGTGACAAACTTGTTTTAGGGACTTGATTGATATTTGAAAATCCCAGATGTGTTCGAGGATGGCATTGGATAGACATCTTCACGGGTAATATTTCCTATAGCCAATCCACCCGCTACCCATAGGGCTATGCCCATATCCACCCGCTTCCTTTTCTTCATCAGCTTTACCCACCCATCATCCACCCATTGCCAGCCCACCTGCATTGGTCGAGCACTTAAGTCCTGAATAGCAGAACAATGTCAAGAAGAAATACAATTATTAGTAGAGATATTTCTTGAAGTATTTGCGAGACATTTCGTAAGCGTTTTACCCTTACCCATACCTCCATCTCAACACATCACTCATTCCATACAGGCACTCATTGGCTCACCAGGCTCTGCAATCATCTGAGGCTGCAATATGCGATTACTTTTACGATTACAATCGAGGTATGGCACGGCCACTGCACGGCAATTCTGGTGCACGAGGTGTACGGCTTTGTAGCAGTGGTGGCGGAGCCTCGTTGGAGTTAGGGGGGCAGTGTAAAGGCAGCTTTAACTACTTTGTTCTTTGCTTAGCGCGATGCGACTGATGTCGAGGCTTTCAATTTTGGGAAGCTAACCCCGCTGCCTCCTTCCCACTCACCCCCTCCCTCCCCTCCACTCCGTCTGCCGCCTCTGTGTTGAGGGTCAATATCGAATGACCAAATGAATTGTAAAAAGCGTTTAGAGGCGGATGTCGCAGCTAAAAGAAAACAAAAACGGCGTTACGCTCGGCCCCATGTCTGATTTTGGTTATCTTTTCTACCCAGGCGTCACAAGCATTGTCTTGACACTCATCTGTTTAATAAACCTAATCGCATCCGCGAGATATGCGGATCCGCTCCAAACCGCGAGACAAGTGACGGATTTTGTGGACGTGCTGCGAATGCCATAAATTTGCTTGAAGGTGTAGGTGGCAGACATGTACAATGACCAACAAAACACAAAGAACGATACCTTTTTAGTTGGATATGGGACTTGAATCGATGAACAGGTCGCTGTTGTGGTAGGCCTCAGCAGCTATTGTGCTAGGCCTCAGCAGCTTTCATGCAGCTTGCAGTCCGCATCAGTGCCCGCGCGGCAGGAGCAGAAGGGCAGTTGGGCATGCTGGCTCCCTTACAATTGTGAAATGCCCTTTTTGTTCAATTTAGGGCCCGTCAAGGCAAACTAGACTTTGAAGCTCGCGCACATTATGAAAATTCAGATAGAGGAGGTCCTCCTATCTAAGCTAGGGAGTACTAGATCGGGCTCAGATGACCTTTCTCTCTATCAAGAAGTCAGTTTTCAGGATCACAGGACCACCGTTATGAGTCAGGCACCCAATGCTTCAGGTCATGGAGCTCAATTTGGTGCTAAGGAAGCGCTTTGCTGGCTCGTGACGCATTGTATGTATGTATGTATTGTATGATGCTCTATGTATTAGGAGGCCTCTTTTCTGGAACATGACGTCGCGTTCATATCTTAGATGGTCCCAGTTCTGGATTGGAATGCTGTGCTTTAGGATACCAAGGCCTTTTACTGGATTTGGAAGCCCAATTGGAATCTGAAGGATCCTGTTCTGGAACAGAAGGTTTCTCTATGCATCAGGATGCACTCTACTGGAAACGAAGATCACTTGTTTTGGAAAAGAGAGGCTCTGCTGGATTGAGAGGACCGTTTTGACTGTGTGTGATGTGCACGTGTTAATTGTGAAAAAATATTTATCAGAAGGCCCCTTTAAATTTAGTTATATAGATAGTGATGCATGTGCCGATCTGATTAGGGAGCACGAGAGGACGTGACCCACCGCTCCCTCTCCCTTGAATGCAACATACACCCAGGCCCCCCCCCCCCCCATGTGGGGATGTCCCGTTTTGTTCATGAAGCCCCCTGGAAAATCATATCCCTCAACCCCAAACCCGTGGCGCCATCCCTTGTCTGGATTGGTGATATTCACATTCGGTGACAGCCCGTGATACCTTCATAGCATAAGTCGATATTTTTGCAGGTTTGTCTCTTCACAGTATGCCCCTTGTGACATTTCTTTGAAACTTATATGACTTTGTCGCGCCGTGTGAGAAGAAACGTAACTATCAGGTTTAGCTCCCTGTGGTCGTTCTCTTAGATACCATTTTAACTGAGTTGCAGCGCTTATCGTTTACCTATCAGCCATCAGACCAGATAAAACAGTCATATTCCTTGTTTAAAGGTCAGAAAGGATTCCGCAATACTACGGCAGCATAATCACACTTGGGTCCGAGTGCGGCATGGTAGCCTTCAAGAAGTAAACGAAGTTATACCTGTCCGAGCCCCCAACAAAGCTGGACAAGGGACGTTGCATTACTAGTCCAAAAACATGAAATAAGTCGTACGTCCCTGTAGCTCGCCCGGACGAAGAGTAGGACGGTCCAGCCGGCATGCCCCAGACGTTTGCGATCCTGTACCGGAATGAGCTTATGTGATTCGTCTTTGACGGTCAGTCCGCGACTGGCCGGGAAAACCAGGCTGGAACAGGATAGTCGAGTTGCGATGTCCGCGTCACTTTTTTGCAAAAATCGTCCGTTGAACTCGGATCTCTCTACCGAAGTGGCGGTGTCAGGAGAATCTCAACAAGCTTTGCTTAGCAGAGCCTGTAATCACCCGTGCTAAGCATTTGATGAAATGGGCAAAGGCAATAAAACATGACGCTTAATGGACAGAATGAATAAAGAATTGTGAGTCAACACGTGATAAGCTTTGCAATCGATCCAGCTCAGCTTTTGCGTTGAGAATCGATATTTGTAGGTTGTGGAGCAGCCATGGGGAAGAGTTCTTGGTATAATCCGTTCTCCCACTAGAGTTGGCGGAATCCCCTTACCCTGGAGAAGGGGAGACCCCCTCCTAGGAGTGGCGGGACGCTTTGGAGGTGGCGGGATCCCTCTTCCTGGAGATAGCGGGACCCCACAGGTGGCGGGATCCCCCCTCCCCTGTGGAGGTGGTGCCCCCCCCCCCTCCGTGGCAACGGGAACCTCCTAGCATCGAAGTCCCCAGTACGTTGTGGCAGTTTAAGACGTTGGTAGGGCCTCTAAAACATAAGCTCGGGTCGACGTGTCAGCAAAATAAGCCCCCGACGCTGAAAAGCTGCTAAAAAACAGAACCCTCAAAAACAGAACCCTGAGCGACGGAGAGGGGACCTTTTGGCTGAAATGGCCCTCTATAGCCGAACTTGCCCCGCTCCCCTTCCTCGATGAGTTCTTGGCACCCCATTGTTTGTTGTGGCCTTACAACCTTAACATCAGGCGCGTTCAGCTATATAACAGGCACCTTTCGTCATCTCTGGACCCGTTGTCATAATCGTCCGGTACCTTTATTTCGGGACATGCATTTGCCAGGTGCGAGCACCGAGGCTACGTCAACACAGACACGTGGCGCGAGTTCATGGCCCCTGTAATACACATCCCAAACGGATCACACCCCAGCTTTGTTTGACATGCAGGGTCAAAGGCCGCTTACGGGAATGCACATGGCAACAAAGCTGCGCCATAGGCTGCATATGAAGCTGCGTATAGAAGGTCAACGTTGAAGCACACCGATTTCCTCCGAGCTTGGCTAACCTCAACTGTGCTGCAGAATAGCGCATGTCAAGAACCAATGTAGTCATTTTAGGGCATTCAGCCAACTTCGAGGTTAAATGAAGTTTTTGTTTGTTTGCTGCCTGTAAGAACTGTGTGGTTCCTACGTAATACCGTTGTTAAAGCCTGCTTTTTTAGTTTTTTTTGTGAAATGGCTCTATAAACGTGCAACGTTATTTTGCAGAGAGCAGAGGGGACTAATCGGGAAATCGGCTGATTTATCACTAGTGTCAGGATGGTCGTCATATTTTGCTTATTAAGCTGCATTCATATTGCTTCAAAGGGATACTTGCTTAAGAGAGACCCAAAATGGCGATTCGATATCAGTTTTGTGTGTCGGTAGCAACGAAGGGTGTTGCTAGATGACTACCTCAAGCTTTCACAACTGCAATACAGCCGACATTGCTTTTCATCAGGAATGACAGCGTTACTGTTATTATTTCCAGGAATATGTACAAAAACGTCGAGCGATGCCCAAGACGACGAATCTCCCACGTAGCTTCTGCTCAATATCTGTTTCATCAGTGATTCAAACTGGTTGAACAACGGTCAGAGTGTCTATTTTCAGCTGTGGAAAAGTTCCGTTTGCATGCTTGACTCTGGCCACAAGGGCCGAGTTCAGGCGCACTAATGCGGTGCCACGTCACGAGACCCGGAGCACCGTCCTTCATGTCCCGAAATCACACGCGACCCGCCGAGGCCCGCATGATGTGTGCGATGCACGCGCCACCTGCGCACACATCCCACACACAACTCACGCAAGGTGCGTGGGTCGACGCCGGTCGCCCCTGCCTTCTACTGTCCGCTCACGCGGGACGCCCCTGCCTTCCACTGTCCGCTCACGCCGGCCGGCCCTGCCTTCTACTGTCCGCTCACGCCGGCCGCCCCTGCCTTCCACTGTCTGCTCACGCCGGCCTCGACCCCTGGTGCGCTTGGTCGGATTTAGCGGGGTCGGGCACGCCGGCCGCCGGCGTTGACCTGTCGGCAACGGCACTGGCGCCGCGCGTCGACAACGACGACCGACGCGCGCCGCCGGCATCGGTCCGTCGGCGCCGCCAGTCGGTGCCGGTGCCGGTGCGGGGGCGCGCTGCGGCGGCGGCGGCGGCGGCCTCCTGTGGCCCAGGGTGACCGCTACGGCGGCTTCCAGTGCTTCGTGACGGGCTCAGGCGGAGCTGAACTGGACGCTATTTCCAGAGGAGCGGCTCGCGGCCCCGTTGAAGGACACCGGAGCGTGCCGACGTGCTCAAGAGCGCGACTTTCGCGAAGCGGAGGAAATCTGCGCGGGGACTAGGCTTGCGGTCGGCGTGGTTCGTGGTGGTCGGCTCAGTTCGAGTCACGGCCGATGATGCTGGTGGTATAGGCTGAAGGATCCGAAGTCGACCACCCGCTCGAGATGGAACGCTGGGGCGCCTCGCGATAAGCTGAACGGTTCGGCACTGTGCAGAAGCTCGTGGTCTGCCCACTAATTTTTCGGTGAGTGGAGACATTGGGTCGTAAGCTCGACTTTGCAAGACCGATACTTCTGATATGTGGCAGTGTGGCGTCCAGATGGATCGAATCGTTAGTTTGGATGGCGGAAACCGTCGATCTTAACAGACCATGTGACGTTTTTGAACCCCCACTGATATGGTCTCAATCAGAATTGTCTCTTCACCGTAGGATATAAAAAAATAGGGGAATGCATGCAACTGGCAATGGTCAACACCTGATACCGTGGGAAGAGAATCCACAATGTTTTCAACGGTAGCAAGCCACCTGCTTCCTTGGCTACAAGATTAACAAACTGATTTTTTAAGACCGTCTTACCTAATGAGGCTATTTTTGTATCGCGGCGAGGTTCCTTATTCAGTTATGCTGAGCAAAGTGTTCTTTTTTTGTCCCAGCATTGCAAACGTGTGCGTTATGTTATGCATTTTAGAAGCAACTGTATTCAATAAATGCTCATAATGTGGTGGAATAAGGAATCATTGAATGACTTCAGGTTAACACGATGAGAGCAAATGCCTATCCAAAGTAAAGAACAGACTATGTATCGCACAACGTTATTTAGTTAGGTCCCAATATCCCAAATTTTACACCTGAACTGGCAGATTATGCTGTTGCGTGAAAATTTCAGACCTCGAAGTGACTAGCTTCCACCTGGAAATACCGGTGTGGCTAGCCATCTGACAACGTCCGTATGTCCAAGGCCTGTCTGTGGCATTAAGATGCTCGGAAAACCCTGATCCGTTTTTTTTTTTCATTGCTCGGATGCCATCATAATCAGTGGAAAATAGCAATCATGAGCTGCAAAGCTCTCAAAACGAAACGTGAAAGACGTCAAATAAGCATTAGCATAAAACGGAAAGCCAGCGATCACTGACGGCAGGATCTTAAGTGGCACTGATGTGACATGTGAAGACGTATATGTTACGCAGTCTATGTGTTCTCCAGCATCACATTCATAGTCAGAAGCTATGTCTTGTTTTAAGCTGCGGTGTAATCAACACGTTTTGATACTATGTCCGCATGTGCTCGGTTCATATGTGACATAACCAGCAAGCTCGGTTGACCATTCCCCTGCGCACACGTCTGAACCGGAAAGCCGATCTCGCATTTCCTTCTCTTCGGAGATGTCTATCACACGGTAGGCATGACAGTCCAGCTTCCATTCACCCGTTCTCTGCACATGCGGCAGGAGCATCTTGATATGAGGTGAAGCGGATGCGGCACCGAGTTCAGATTTGAGTCTATGGATGACTCATGACCTACTGTTGCGCAGCAATATTTTTTGCATTGGTGGCAGTAATTGTAGCTTTCCTTAAATGTCCGAACTACCCATGTATCATCATAGCAAAACTATGGTTTCAGGTGTGTCCAGTTGTAGCGGGGAAATCACGGACACATACAGTTTGCTGAGCAGCACACTGTAGCACATTATTACGTGTTTCGTGCACACTAAGTGAACACATACACTTGATATGAGCGAGAGAGACGTTCGCCTATTGTTTTTCGGCGTTAAGAGTTCGTAGGTTGAAAATATCCGACTTCCCTACCTGCAACAATAGTAGGTAGGAAGGTCGTTAATTAGAAAAGAGAGATATTGGTTAAAGAGAATGTTCTACATCTGAAGATATTGAAGCAAGCATCAGATATGTTGCAATAAACTCACTGATAGTTGCTGGTATACTTTAAAGCGGAAAAGACCGTCCTATACAAAAGTTATTGATATAGTAATTACGTTTCTCAATATATCGTTGTTTAATTGCGTCATGGAACGTTCTATGACGTTGAGGTGCTGCCAAGCTAGCCGTGCGAAATTGCCACCCTCGCGCTCACTTCAATCTTCCGAGAGGTGGTTGCAGCGATTCTGGAGTTGTTTGCCTAAAATTGCATTAGGTGCCCATGTTTTGGCTCTCTCTCGTTGCGTCAACGCATGTTTATCCGAGAGTTTGAGGTATTTTCTTGTACTTACATTCCCGGTTATGGCGCTATTCGTAGGTCGTTCAATTACTAGTCGTAATTCCGTAAAAAATAGCAACCGCGACAAACTTATTTTGTTATTCATTACCAAACGTGATTCGTGACTGAGATCCGTCGCTCTTATCCTCTATCTTGCGTCATCCTGCATCCTCGCGACATCCCGCTTGTCCGGGGCAGGCTGCATTCGTCAGCCACGAGTGGGCTGAGAGCCCCGTGGGAAGGGGGACCCCGGCCGGGTACCCAGCGCGCGTGCCCGAGTTAAAGCTCGGCGGTTAGCCCCCCAGGCGCTTGCAAGTCTACCCCTTCGTTAACCATTTTCCCTTATCCCATAGCGCTGAAATGAGCATGTCTGGTCGAACGGACTCTATTCCAAAAAAAAAATAAGCAATCGTGACTGAAGCTTGTACAGCCTACTCAACATTAATTGAAAGTCAATTGACGTCCATTTCATCTGCAAGCAGTGTTTACGAACGCCGGATATGAGCGGCTCTTACTGGTCTTGAACGTCGCATGGCCAATGAGGTAAAGGGATGACAGAATTTGAATGACGTTTCTGAGGCGTCATGCACGCCTGAATGACCTTGAAGTAGTCTGCACGAATTCGTTCGCATACCTCTGCGGGTGGTAACTCAGAAGCTAGATAACGGAGCTGTGAACTGCCGCGAATGATCTTAAAAATGGCCATTTCAGTTTAAAGCCCCATACAAAAGCGAACGCTCCCTTTAATCAACCAATTCCTACCAATTACGAGGTCCAGACAGTGTGTATGGTTGCTTGTGACTATGAACACCAAGTGTCGTGGTTTTATCATTATATAAACACATACACACACGTCCACAAACACACACACACACACACACACACACACACACACACACACACACACACACACACACACACACACACACACACACACACACACACACACATACAACGGAGTGCCTACAGGAAGTGGTTTCCCCTGACATCAGAGAAATCACAGGTACGCAGTTCGATTCCCAGCGATGTCCACCTCCCCGCAAGAGTGATTGGCAGGAGACACAATATAGCCTAAGCTGCTGAGAGTGTCGTAAAGCCCGACTGACAATGGGCTTGACATTGGAGCGAACCGGTCCTGCCTGTTTTTTCCTGAAACTAAAAAAAACGCTGACGTTTTAGCCACGCGTGCTTTGAAGTCTCCTGTATCAGCACCAACTTGTCGTGAATGTTAGAAACCACAGAGGTATCTACCACAGGTCTACTGCAGGTCACCGAGTGGATAGACAGGATATGGCTTACAGAGGCATGAAGTTAATAAGCGAAGCCTGAAGAGTCGTGAAGTAGTTGATGTCAGCAGAGCTTTCGGACGCAGATACTAGGATCAGACACGCCAGCTGCACTCCCATCTGATAGCAGCTCCGATCCGTGCTGACTGCTTCGCACCAATGTCCCAGTGTTAAACGGACGTCACCAGAGCTGGAACATTTCCAGTCGCTTGGAGCAGCGTGCTAGCCTTTGGTCGATCCGTTTGACACGAGACCCATGAATTCATTGAACTTTGATTAAATTTAATGAAAGAATGTATGCCATTGGCTTGAACCTCTCTGAGCATATGGAAAGCTCTGTCTGCTGGGCGCGACGACGACGGGCGAGTAACGGTGGCGCGGCTCCGTTCGCAGGCCTCGCAGCACCATGCCAGGATGGTGACGTCCGCGGCCGCCGTGTTGCTGCTGGCCGCCGCCGTCGGCGCCTTCTCCCCAGCAGGTGGGTCCCTGGGGGCGAGGCTGGCGGCCGCGGGCCGGGCCCGTCGGCGGGGTGCCGGGTGCCCGCGGCGGCGCACTATCGTCAGGGTGTCGACGAGGGTGCGCCGCCGCGAGCCGAGTGTCGGTTCCGCTCGACCGGGCCCCGCTCCGTGCCGGGCCAGTCCGGACGATACCAGCCGATGTCTGTTAGCCGTTTGCTTCAAATGTGCTCAAAATACCATCCGCGTGAAGTTCCCCATCCTCATTTTTATCGCAAAGGTACTGGGGAATGGGTGGCCAAGACCTAGCAGCGCGATATCAACGTTTTGAATCAACGCTAATACAAAGGAAGCTGGTATTTCCTACCGCGCTAACCCTGGTATGATCCGACCTTGTAGCGAACTTACGGAAAGGTATGCACTTGGCAGCCTTGAACATCGGCTCTTCGGCCATCGCTATGTTTACGAAGGGCTGGTTTTGCCTTAAAAAACACGAGATCAGCCATTTAGCAGCATATTCATGGATATAATAGCATCAGATTCCCTATCATAGTAATAACATTTCTTTGAAAAAAATGATAATCGACCTCTCAGGCTCTCCTTCTAAGAAGATGATATGCTTGCCATAATTGAGAACAGACTTGTCCAAAAGCTGTAAATAAGCAGCAATACAGTTGAGCTGTGGTCATTTGTGTACCACGATCTTCAATAAAACTGAATTCCTATTGTTTTTGTTACAGTTTTCAGGTAAACGTTGAGTTTATTGCCAGCTGGTCGCTGAGCCACGCAACATGCTGTACAAGCTGTGTCTGCCTTGGGTGTTACCTCAGCGATTTTATGTCATTCTGTATCCTGTCTCAAGTACAGGAGTTCTGCTTCTACCCTTTTCCTGGTCACTGTGCATGTAATATACTACGAGCCAGTGCTTCCGTCTAGATCGGGGACTATTTTCGCATGCGTCATGGTGAACACGGATAAAATGGAACGGGTTGGGTCCTGATAAGGACGGGGAACAGAATATCAGGCCGCAGGTGCGGGAAGGACATGATGGATCATGTGGGTACAGATGTCATGAGGTCTGTATAGTGTGAAGCGATCTTGGTGTGATTATCATGTACGGCGTGGTCACCATCATACCGTAATCAGCACACTATTCGGCATGTTCAACCGGCTCGCGTACTTTCTAACGCTCCAGATGAAGACGATAGCCCAAACGATTATTCCATCCGCAATACTTCTCACAGTTCGTGATGGCTAAGAAGTCCATGGCTATATTCCTGTACTCGCGTGCTTTGTTTTGCATGGTGGGCCCTTACGGCCGGCGCGTCCGCGGCCGCGTTCGGCTGCGGTCCCGGTACCTTCCATTGCGACCCGTCTCAGCCAAACCGGACTATGCAGATGAGCGATCCTTTCTCCTCTGCATTCGTAGTGACAAATGGTCAGGTTGACCTCGCTGTGCCACTTTCAAGAAGAGCCGAGGCTGAATGGTGATGGGGGTTCCCCTGTCCCGGTGCCAAGCACGCAATAGGTGCTCGGCAGCGCATGGCCCTTCGCCGTTCGTCCTGTAGACCTCCTCTGAATGGCGCATCGTCAATGATCAGTGCTGCACTAGTTCGGGACCCACTTGCTGAGTTTGGACGGTGGTAGTCCAAGCTTAATGATTTGATCTGATCTTTTGAAAAGAAACAAATTTAGTTATTGATTCGAGTCGTGCAGAGCAAACTCAAAGATCACTGTAGACGCGTCGCTAATTGCAAACTGCTTATGTGGTGTCCTGCATTTCATTTCAGTACGAAAAAAGTCAGTGCGAATCGCATTCGTCCATTCTATTGGCCTGAAAAGCTGGCAAATGACAAAAGCTGAAAGTTACTATTATTAACTGAGAAATGCAAACTCACCAAGGTGCTGCGTTACATTTCATTTCTTACGCACATTGGAAAAGCAATTACTTTGTTGTTTTAATGTGGGTGCGGAATCATCACTTCAATGTGCGTTGGGAACATTGATGGTTACAATGTGCGTTATCATCAATCAATGTGCGTAAGGAAGACAGCGCTTTGCGTTAATTTATAACACGTTGAGACATTTAGCACATGCCAGTTCCATTGCATGGAAATTCTTACAACACTGCAATATTAGAATGCTGCAAAACATGAATGTCTGATATGCGTGCCTTGTTGCTTGTGCACGTGATGATTCCAAAGGTATAGAACGACGCATTCATGGGCCATCTAGCGTTTCACGCTCAGTCAGCTGTCGCGGTGGGTGATGAGACAATACACCGATTACCAGGATCACTCAAACGGCTTCACGCACAAACCGTGCGGCAAGCCGTTTCCAAAGTGCGCGAGTGCTCTACTTGTTAAAATTTGAACATTTCCATTTATTTTTGCTAATACCTGTTCAGTGTTATGATATTTATATTTGTTTCAATCTACCACCTGCCAATTGCATATCCGATGAGTTTCTACCAGCTGAGATAAGCTGTCTTCCGACCAGCGGCCGACGGGGCGGCTCAATGCCTTGGTATCACCTGAGCTGTCTTCCGACCAGCGGCCGACGGGGCGGCTCAATGCCTTGTAACACCTGGCGATATGATCAGTTCTTGGCTGACAACAGTTTTTGCTCGCGCATCCAGTGGGGGCTGGCTTTGCACACTGCTCTGCGGTGGGCGAGGGTAGACTGTGGCCGGTTGAGAAGTGGGCTCCGCGGAAAAGCTGTCGTTTCTAGAAATTATGTTCGGCTCTAATCACAGAAAAGCCGCCAAACCAAGGAAAGCGCTCCTGTAATCCTAAGTCTTTACGGGTGTTGAGAGCATGGGATGGGCTGTTTGCGCAGTTCTTCCAATGAAACAAGCGTTTTGGCTTAGCATTGAAAGCTTTCTAGCCCACGAATGCCGTAATATGATGCGCATTGCGAGCGCCTTTTAAAAACTTTCGTCACACACACTGCTAGAATATCGCTTCGTGCCATTCCATAGTTATAATCCCTTTTCATAGATATCACCGTGTCGTGATGCGTCGATACTTCGTGCGCCCCCCCCCCCCCCCCCGCTGGAAAACTGGGCAGACGTGCCCAACCCCACCGCAACGACTAACCTCATGTCGGCTTCTGATGTGCCGACCCGGCCTTCATGGCTCATTTCTTCCTCGTATTGGATATCGCATGTCAGCCCGCTTAATCTTTGAGATGTTACTCGAATCCGATGTAAGGATTCAGTTGTTCATGTTGCAGCTGATGACGCTAAGCTTGGGGAAGGACCTGAAAGGAGGTTCTCCATAGAAATTTGATTTGTAGCAAAAACATATGAGCATAAAGCCGTCTTTCCATGTAATGTGTCCGTTACAGAACCTCCAACATGACACTTAAGAAAAAAAACACTCAAGATCTCCACCTTATCTTGCGTCAACGTAAGGACTGCCTTCACCTTGGGTCATTTGATGTCGATATAAAGCGTGTTCGAGCACAAAAACAGTGTTCGTGCAAATCCCATCCAGACCGACCGGGTGCCTTCAGGTTAAAATGATCTGAATAGATTAGTTAACGTCGGCGAACACCAATAACAACGAGTGCATGAGATCATCAGTTAGACAGACACACGTCCCTCAAACATGCTCTTGTAAATGATATTGAAAGATGAAAATCATGACTGTAAACTTAGTAGCATCGCTGGTTGTCAAACAGGTCACGAAAGAACACGGAGATGGAATCACACTTTCAGAGCATCGCTCGCGATACATTTACCTCAATGGTGGTTACGACTGCCTAATATCCATAACATTTTTGTCATTCAGACGGCAAGCCCCCATGTGTCTAAAGCCGCTGAATGGCCAGCAGGCGTAGTTGGCGTGGTTTTTTGTTCTCAGTATCACATTTAGTGCCCCGTCACTGCCCCGATTATGCTCTCCGTCGCTCAGGCTGATGACGGCGGCAGCCGATCCCGCTCGTCTATTCGCCATTCGTCGTCAGCGAGCGTTTACACATGTCGGTGAAGAGATCATTAGGACCGTCGGCGTCGTCAGCGTTTCCTAGATTACAGGGGTTGCGGGACCGCATTCATAGCAGATGCGTCTGCTGAGTGTGCCGACATCGCATAGCGTGGCGTCTGGGCCGACCGGCTTGGCCGGCGGCCGCTGCCAGCAGCCGGCGCCCTAATGCATTGAGAGCGATTCCAGATTCGCTTGAGCGATATGGCGTGCATTGGCGCGAGGCTGAAGCATTCTCCGTCAACGCAGCGAGTGCAGGCTCATATCGGCACTCCAAAATGTGCCCCTTCGGATGATGGACACAGCACGTTTCGCTTTGATGAGGACTGCTCGCATGTGCTGCAAGGGCACAGACATTTGGATGCCTCGTAGCTGGTGTTGATTTATGTGACGCAGAGTAAGAGACACATACCAGCATCGTTTTGGTCAGTGAACAAAACAATGTGTTCGCTTTGTCTTAGTATGTGGGCATATTGAAACAATATACGGAGATTGACTGGCATGCTTGGGCAAGAATTTGTTGTGTCATCGGTGATAGACGACGAGGACGGAGTCACCGACGAAGGCTTTGCCGCTTTTTTATTTGTGTTCGAGATAGTAAAAACGGTGCGCGTAAGTGTTCAGCAAGTGTGTTTGCGGTGTTTCATTCATTTTGAGAAAATTCATAGCCCTTTCCCATTAGTTACTCGGTGATTCGCTCTTTGTCGACGTCCTGTCAAGGTCAGCGTCATATGACGTCACGTTGCGCTTTTCGGTCTGTACGTATCTTTGCATATGTTCACAGAGTAAAGCTGATCAAGTTCAAGCACGCCGTAATGCACTTGCAGGGATAAGTGGGAGACCAGCTGAGACCATTCCACAAAATTCGATGGCCTTGACTTGCGCGTGCGGTCTTAACGTGAGATGATGGAAGGCTTAGCCTGATTTTAAGCAGTGTGAAGACTTAGCCTGACATGAACCTGGCTTCCAATGACTTAACGCTACGCTGCGGAGCAATTGTTTTGGTTCACGGTGAGCCTTACGTGCTTTGGTATAAG